TGAGTCTCACATACCCCGCGCGCCCCTTTTACGCGGGGACCTCGTAGGAGGTTCGGCCCTCTACCCGAAAAAAAAAGGTACCAAATTGTTTATCTTTATTTTATTGCTTTGATGTGTGGATGAACTCACAGCACACCTGGTGTTAAGTGGTTACTGGAGCCCATAGACATTTACAACGTAAATGTGCCACTTACCTTGAGATATAAGTTCTAAGGTCTCAAGTACAGTTACAACGGCTGTCCCACCCTTCAAACCGAAACGCGTTAAGGCGGGATGGTGGTACCAACCCGCGCGGACTCACAAAAGGTCCTACCACCAGTAAAGGTTGAGGTGTCTCTCATTTTACAAGTGAGGAGGTCGTGAAATCTTCCACCTATCTACGCAATAAATAAATAAACGCTAAGATAATCTAATTTCGTTTCATTTAAAAGTAACTTAAAGAATACTATTATAATTGCGTACATATATGTATGTATCGTACGACGATGGTTCTTTGGAGGTTGAAACGTTTAATTCCTGTGTTTTCAAAGCTAGATCGTAGGCGTTTGGCACATTCATCTGGTGACGTCAAGCCTGTCGCCAAAACGCTAGTTACACACGCGACTACGATCGTACATTACGTTTTACGATAGAAGTTCTTAATAATGTTACGTCATTCGACACGACGAAGTTTTTTTTTTGTAGGTAATATAGTTATTGATAAAAAGTTACATTTTAATTTAAACCATGCCCCGCAAAACTGCTTACGCAGTTTGACTGCAGGTAACTCGCTTTATATAAACATAGCTTATAAATTATTAAATTAGGTTATATTAATACAATTAATTTACGTAAATGGTCACAACGTATTTAACAAGTGTTTTTTTAATAAACTTTTAAATTTAGCAAGTAGTTTTTTAGATGCCTTGAAGCGTTTCAGGTCTAATTGTACGCATTGATTAATTTTACTCTGTAGCACTTACTGTACATTCTTAACCTAAACAATTATGTCTTAAATGTGCCTAATTGACGAATTAAAACCACTAAGTCTGTTTAAGATTGCTCACTATCTTCTCACCAATCTCACCTCTCATTTTAACTTATTAATTTCAAAACTGAACAGGTTTAGTTGAACAACTTTAATTTTTATAATAATTTCATAAGACGATCGTGTCATGACATTACACCACAAGTCTGAGTTTATCTGGCGATGACTTGGTCAATACACATTACGAAAGCTTGAAGTCGTCGTGGCCTAAAAAGTAAGACGCCCGGTGCATTAATATCAAGCGATGCGACTGTGCCGGTGTTCAAATCCCGCAGGCAGATACCCATTTTTGAAATGAAATGGGTACTTAATAGATATTTACGATTTATTTTTACGGTGAAAAAAATAGTAGGTATCGTGTAATAAAAATCAAACCCGCACAAATTATAATTTGCGTAATTACTGGTGGACTCACAATACCTCCTCCTCCTCCTTACATCGTTGATGTCTATGGGCTCAGGTAACCACTTNGACATTACACCACAAGTCTGAGTTTATCTGGCGATGACTTGGTCAATACACATTACGAAAGCTTGAAGTCGTCGTGGCCTAAAAAGTAAGACGCCCGGTGCATTAATATCAAGCGATGCGACTGTGCCGGTGTTCAAATCCCGCAGGCAGATACCCATTTTTGAAATGAAATGGGTACTTAATAGATATTTACGATTTATTTTTACGGTGAAAAAAATAGTAGGTATCGTGTAATAAAAATCAAACCCGCACAAATTATAATTTGCGTAATTACTGGTGGACTCACAATACCTCCTCCTCCTCCTTACATCGTTGATGTCTATGGGCTCAGGTAACCACTTAACGCTAGGTGGGCCGCGAGTTCTTCCAAGCATATAAGCTATAAAAAAAACTAGATTCACTCCAGTTGGTTTGTGTACGAATTATTTTGTTATTGCTGTCATATACCAATCTTTATAAAAACTAAATTTGGCATCCTTACCTTAATGACGTCGTGACACTCCCTCCTTGGCGTAACTACTAAAATACCCAGACGAACTACGTCATTTGTTTTCACAAATATTGACCATTATATTATTAATTTTAAAGACTCTCACATTACAAGAGTCCATTTTGTCAATTTCTTAATTGAATGAGAATTGAATACTAGGTATCGGGTTGTGGCTCGAGCCACAACCCGGATGTGGCTCTCTCCTACAGAACTTCCACAGGTACCTCCCGAAGCAGCCATGAATTATTTTATCCTAGAGGAGGACCCCGGTCTTCCTCTTCTCCCTCTTCTTCTCTGAAGGCGCCGGAGTCCGACATAGCCCGGTCTGTTCCCCCCTCGGCTTGGTATCTGTAAATGGATTCCCCAGCGTTAAAAAAAAAGGGTATAATAATTCGTACCACACTATTTTATATTTATTTTGGGAACACTTCAAACAGTCCTTTCTCTCTGATACTCAACAAAATATCACAATTTAATTTTAAAGATATATTTCTTCTAGACGATCCAAAAAAGGTTATATTGCTTCAGGCAAATAAATGCTCGTAAGTTTAGTCGAGAAATCCTTGAAATTCCAGGAACACTGTGTCCTCTTTGATGCTATTTCGCCTGACGAGATTCTCGAAACAATTTGATGAGTCTTGTAAATATTTTTCTACTCGAGAACTCTTCAAAAGTTTGCTAGTGTTTTTGTAATTAATTGGCTATAACATAATCATTCGCGAAATTTATAAACAAGGAGATCGTTAAATTAAACTGAACGTCATAGTTTTCCGTATTGTTTTCGGTAGTTGGTATGGTTTCCTGTTAGTATTTTCAATCATTAGATGGTGCTCATTAAGATTATATTAATGTTCCAATAAAAATATTTATGTTATTATTAGAATAAAAGTCTGTTGGTTAATCTGGTTAATCGAAAAAAATTGTGTATTTAAAAAACTATGTATTATTAATCCGCTGGATGCAGGCAGCGCAGGACCGGTCTTTGTGGCGAGGCTTGGGGGAGGCCTATGTCCAGCAGTGGACGTCCATGGGCTGATAAGAAGAAGAAGAAGTATTATTAANTCCAATAAAAATATTTATGTTATTATTAGAATAAAAGTCTGTTGGTTAATCTGGTTAATCGAAAAAAATTGTGTATTTAAAAAACTATGTATTATTAATCCGCTGGATGCAGGCAGCGCAGGACCGGTCTTTGTGGCGAGGCTTGGGGGAGGCCTATGTCCAGCAGTGGACGTCCATGGGCTGATAAGAAGAAGAAGAAGTATTATTAATACATGCATAGTATTATAAAAGCTAAGTTTCTGTATAAAACAGTATAAAGGTGGTGTACTTAAATGTTGGTATGGATAACAGAACACACAGGCTCATATCGTTTTTAATTTTTGCGTCTCGCCTGTTTAGTGTTTCTTTTACAATTATATTTGCTGGTGTTTAAATGGTTGTACATAACGTATTACGTATTAATGTACCTTGTTTTTGTCGCGAAGCAGCCATTCGTTTCGATTTGAAGATTGGGCTAGCCGTTATACACTATAATTGAGACTACAATCGACAAGGTACTATTGGCAGTTATGTTTTAATATTATAAACATGTCCGGCTCTGGTAATCACTTTACCCTGGGTGGGTCGTGAGTTCGTTCACTCATCACTCACATCATTCAAAAGATATATCTTGTTATTCAGTTACTAAATCATATTTAATTCCGCATGTTCTGTTTCGGGTTGGTTACCATGGAAATTTCGATTGTTTAGTGCTATTGAATTTTGTTTCCCCTTTTTAAATATCTATAAGTATCCTATACCTATCATCGCATGTTGGTATGTATTTTTTTTATTGCATAGTTGGGAGGACGAGCTCACAGTGCACCTGGTGTTAAGTGGTTACTGGAGCCCATAGACATCCACAACGTAAATGCGCCACCCACCTTGAGATATAGATTCTAATGTCTCAAGTATAGTTACAACGGCTGCCTCACCCTTCAAACCTAAGCGCATTACTGCGTAACCAGCCGCGCGGACTCACAAGAGGTCTTACCACCAGTAAATTTTAAATTTAATGTTCAAAGTATATCCTACGTAACTACAGAACCTTATATCTCTTACCAGTACCTACTGGTAGTATAATTTAGTAAAGCCTGTAGAAACTGTTTAAGTGGGTGGCACCTGTCATCGTTATATCTGTTTGGGCCGAGAATCCATTACGGAAATTCATAAACGGTTTGTGGTTGGTTGTCTTATTTTATATACATAATATTATGTATATTAAGGCTCCCATCCTCATCTAATAGCTCAGAGGTATCATTACTTATCAGTAATTATCAATAATTACCTTTACCTAAACTCATTTTTTCTGGTTACATTTGATTATGTAAGGCTTATTCCATCATCGTGGCACTGGAAGTCATTCATGTTCAAATGTATCAAAAATTAAAAGCGGTACCTACCTATCTAATTTTGAACTATGGAGCTTATGACAATGCTATGGACTTTTTACCTATTAAGGATCATGAATTCGCTTGTGGACCATTACATTAAACCTTAAGTTTAATATAAGTACACATTTTAAACTTTTCAAAGTTTCCTTTATAGATTGTTCAAAAGACAATACATTTCCGACGAAAACTCTCGTAGATAGATAAAATGTATAGTACGATATCGCAGATGAATAAACAGGCAATGCTTTTCTATGATTGATGATGATAAGCAACGAGTGTAAGATATCTATATAGACGATAAATTTTCGAGTTTTTGATTAATTTATTTACTGATCATCGCTTTATATTAAATCACTTGGTATTTGTTGAAGTGATAAATGGGATACGGATGGGCTTTGAGGTGCTAATTTTTTATTGAAACAAATCAGAAATTGGCAAATGCCAGACGAGAAGTAGCGTCACCTTTTCTTTTCATTGCGCTGCGCGTCGTGTTGGTGATTCGTGAATCGTTGTTCGCAATTCGCAAGAGTGGGCGTAAACCTCGCTCTCCGGGCCGGGGCCGTAGTTCTGTTCAGTTCACTCAGTTATTCAGTTCAGTTCGCAAAGAGCAAAGCTCGTGTATCCTTGTGTTTTCGAACGACTAACAAACAGTAGACACAGTTATTTGTTTCAGAACGTAAAAGAAATGCCAAAATCTTGACATTTCTCTATTTATTAAAATACATTAAATTTGCTTGGCCCTGTATGTAACACCTAGGAAATAAAATATAAACGAAAAGATATTTCATTATGAACCTGCTGCTGTATTAAATTCCGTTCTAAGGACTAAGTGAGACAATCTATTGTGTTAGAAACGAATTTCGAGAAACCATTGAAAACTTTTAGTGTACAGACACACGTACTGTTGATTATAAATTAAATAGTGATTTATCGTTAAACAAGTGGAACGAACTGTGAATAGTGGACGTATTTGATTGGATTTCGCAAAAGCATGACCTGCTAAATGAAGGAAACATACCCTGACGAAATTATGCTGTGTTTCGTTCAAGGGTTTGGAGATAGTGAACGTGGTTATAGTAAAAGCAGAGAGTGTCCAGATCAAAACAAGCCTCGAACTGACTTGCATTCTAAAAAAAGTGTCAAAAGAGTGTCTCTTCACCTTGAAGAGGCTGACCAGCCAGTTGAATTAAGATCAAAAAAGTCAGAAGGCTTATTGACGGGGAAATCTTTGAGGCTGTCGTCTGGTGGTAGATTTCCGGAAGTGAAAAGGAGCCTGAGTGATAGATTTTCTGTCATTTCTGATGCAAGTAGCAAGAAGCCTGCAAAAGGACTATTGACCATTAGAAAGACTTGGTAAATAAGATTTCAATTATATAATTTAGTCAATAAAATATTATTATTAAATCTAGGTAATATCTACCACATAAGATAATTAACAGTTAATTATTACTTTATGAAGGTCACCTATGCTAATGAATTTGACTACTAAATATCTTGAAGTAGCACTCAATTACTACATATTACCTTCTTATTATCTACTTTTGGATCAATACAATGAAGGTCAATATACAATTTGGAGGCTTACATATTGAAACACTAATAAGATAAACTTTCAATATAGACTTTCACCCAGTTGAATATATTCCTAGACAGTATGCACATACAAAGGTTTAATTGAAAATAATCTAAGAAATTAAGTTTTTTTTCAATGAGTTACTTACCTGCAATCTAAGAATGTAGTGTATTGATTGCAATAAATAGTTGTAATTAATCTTCCAATGCTAATAAAAATGTTGTCAAATCGTAATTTGGAACAAAATAACCATAATACTTCCAATATTGGTGATTGTTATTGGGTTGCAATGCACCAAAAATACTCGGTATAACTTAAAATGAAGTGGTACAATTTTTTTGCACTTGATGTAGTTGAAAATGCATATAATAGAAGTTTAATAAAATCTAAATAGCTACAAAGTCAATAAAACAAAAGCTAAAAATATAAAATAAGTGAATCATTTTACATTTATTTAATATGTTTTCCTAAATATGTCTGTCTTTGTGCCTGCTGGTCAGAAAGTTAAATGTTACGTCAATACAATTGAGGCTAATTTATTGAATAGACTAATCTCATATCTTTGCATGAGGTTCTCCTAACATCAGGTGGGCTGTGTACAGGACATTAGAAGCAGCTTAGTTCAGAGACCTGACAGACATCATTACTGACATAGATCGGTGTAATATTTTGACATTACAGACATAAATCGGTCAGATCAAACCTAAATTGATATGCAAGATATTTATAATGTAAGAAAAAAAATATTTGAAAAGATACATATCAACACTTGAAAGGCAAACGTGACTACACGACAATAACTGATTTGTACATAAATTATAGGCAATAACCATATTCGATGCGCAAAAAAATATATTTCTAGGTCTATTAAAATCATTTCAATCCTACAGCTACTAGCTAGATTCTATTACAGCTAGATTCGTTACAATAAATTTTGTTTTCAGGTATTTCAACTTTAAATTAGTCTACTGTAAAGTTCACGCATTGTCGCTTAGTCACGTTTGCCTTTCAAGCGTCGATATGATATAATGCTTATATAAAATTTAAATATAAAATAAATTAAAATATTATTGAATTACTGAATTATGGGATGACACCCAGGGATGAATTAGTTGCTTTACCATTACAGAGGAAACAAATATAAACGGAACATATTTTCTGTATTGTATATGTATACAGCCTTGTGTTCAAACCTTTTACAATGTCTGCCCTTCTGTTACATGTTAAATAAGTATTTCAATATTTTTTATTTCCTAATAGTTTTATGAAGCAATTTACGTTCCACCCTTGTTCCTTTCACTGCCAGCCTGGTACTGCCAAGCACAGAAGTATTAATGTTAAAAAAAAAATAGTCTTCTATCATACCTTATTTGCTATGTAAAACTAAGTAATTCCATGATAATTTAGTTGGTATTGAACAAAATGTGATTTTCCAATCTAAATTATTCCGCATAATATTCTTAAAAATGTTTAATTTCCAAGCGATTGTTTAGCAAATCTTGTTCGTTTCTTCAAACTTAATAATAGTGTTGTTAATATAAATAATACAAATGTTACATTATGACACCATACTATTTTCATATCATAAATCATTTTGTAGTTCTATACAAAAAAGGCATACTAATTAATGAGTCATGTTTTGATTCCAAAATTATGAAATTGATTCCCATTTTCAATGGTTTATGACTCAGTTTAGTTGAACATTATATCTTTATCATTGGGCTCCTGATAGTTTGGTAATGTTGGTAACTGTCTTTTTAATATGAATCTTGTCAACCTTTTTTCTATTTCACTATGGATAAAGTTTCTTGCGAAAGTCTCAGAGAGATCACTAGTGCAAGAAAACTTCAGTTTTAAGATACAAGAGATGGTCACAAAGAATGCAGTTCCTAGTTTTTGGATCGCAGTCAAACCAAAGTGAATTTGATGATTGTACTCTGTTCACTGATATCACTTTCATATCATGTTCTGAGACACTGAGTTTATACTCACATTAACTCATCTCATTTTTGATGGTAATAATCAGCCACCATCTTGAAATTGTTCACCCTTAAGATAGTAGACCTGGTTATTGGATTTAAAAGTTTTTGAGTACTTTTCCCTATCTGTGGATCTCTGATATTATATATTACTAGATGAGGTTTTTTTTTTGATAACGCCATCTTGTTGTGTCTTTAAAGCGGTTAGTTGTCCTCAATTAAGAAAAATAGTATTATTATTCGCCAATAGATGTCGGGAAGAGTTGATTATTGAAAACACGAATAAAACAACATTTTCTGAAAACAAATCGTAGCTAGATTGATTTATCGCCCCCGAAATCCCTGTATACTAAATTTTATGAAAATCGTTGGAGCCGTTTCCGAGATTCAGATTATATATATACAAGAATTGCTCGTTTAAAGGTATAAGATAAGATTATAATCCAATGTCACACCATCACACTGTCAACTGACCATAATTTTTTGTTGGCTCTAAGGAGCTCTATTTCTTTCGTCAATGTATATATGCTATGTGTTATCAAAGCCTCATGTTCCTTTTTTCAGTTGTTAATAGAGAATAATAAAACTTTTTTTTTTAAGTAAATACTTTATCTTTTGTTGTATTACTGAGCGATTGGTTAACATCATGTAAGGCAAATGTGCATCACAGCATTAGTCAAAGAAGATATGATAAGATAGACACCTGGGAGAACTAGTGATTACAAACACCTGCAATATCTTCAAAGATAACGATATAGCCACAGATAAAGGTTAAATAAAAACTTCACTAATTTAAAAACATTCAACTGTAATATGTATTTTAAATTTGATTTTAGATAAGTACCTACCCTTAAAGATGGTAAAGTTAATTTAAAGTAGGATTAAGAGGATAATTCGAGCATTAAGTCGAAGACATTGAAATAACGGCTAATATTACCAGCAAACCGTAAGAAATATCCACTTAACTCCAACTCAGTTTGACCAATTCTGTATGGGTTCGCAACACACTCTACCAACAAAATAGGAGTTAGAAGAAAAGTTTGGTAAGAAAGTATAGGCGAGCATACCAGTACTGTGGACTGTTAATAAAGAATCTTAATAATCTTCCCATCAATAGCCCTATTATCATAATACTTTTAGTGTAGAACTGTCCTGTAAATTTTATGCTAGGTACAATAAGACGCATCATGTAATAGAAGTGAAAAATTGCGATACGACTTTTCAAATCAAAATCCGAGGCAGATTTTACGGTAGGCAGCGGTTTGGCTCTCTCCCTGACATTGCTGAAGTCCATGGGCGACGGTAACCACTCCCCATCAGGTGGGCCGTATGTTCGTCTACCTACAAGGACAATAAATAAATAATGTATCTGAAATTAAATTGTTACCGTACAATGGGGTAAATAGGGACAAAATCGACCTTCAGATTGAATTTTAAAATAGTTCCAATTAAATAGTCACTGCTCAACCAAAGAAATAAGTTGAGTCTTGAACGTACCTAGGTGATAAAAACCGTTACATAATTTTAATTATTCATTTTAAAGAAATAATCGGTAAAATAATGGCTGTCCCAATTTACCCAGCGTCCGGGGTAAATTGACACGGTCAAGGGTTAAATTGGGATATTTGTAAGGGTTGTCAACTCGCAGTACTGCGATATATAGGTAGGTGCCATATAATTATTTATATGGACCGAAATGATGAATACAATCCATAATTTAAGCACAATACACAACATAGTGTAAATTAAGCTGGTTTCTATTCCGAAGCGANGAAGAAGTAAGTTGTAAAGAAATAGAATTTATAAAAATTGAAAAGAGTAAAGGAGATAAAACGCCACCCTGCGGTACACCTACGTGCGTTTCACACCATGAAGAATAAGCATTCTCACAGTGAATACGCTGTCGGCGACCAGACAGGTAACTGCGAAACCAATCAACCACGGTTGGAGATATGTTAATGGAGCTAAGGATGGTTAGAAGTATGTCGAAATCAACCGTGCCAAAAGCATTACTGAAATGTTTAATTAAAAATTTATATATAAAATAAATTAAAATATTATTGAATTATTGAAATATGGTTACACCCAGGGATGAATTAGTTACTTTACCATTACAGAGGTAACAAATATAAACAGAACATATTTTCTGTATTGTATATAGCCTTATGTTCAAACCTTTTACAATGTTTGCCCTTGCCCTTCTGTTACATGTTAAATAAGTATTTCAATATTTTTTATTTCCTAATAGTTTTATGAAGCAATTTACGTTCCACCCTTGTTCCTTTCACTGCCAACCTGGTACTGCCAAGCACAGAAGTATTAATGCTCAAATATTAGTCTTCTATCATGCCTTATTTGCTATGTAAAACTAATTCAATGATAATTTGGTTGGTATTGAACAAAATGTGATTTTCCAATCTAAACTATTCCGCATAATATTCTTAAAAATGTTTAATTTCCAAGCTATTGTTTAGCAAATCTTGTTCGTTTCTTCAAACTTAATAATAGTGTTGTTAATATAAATAATACAAATGTTACATTATGACACCATACTATTTTCATATCATAAATCATTTTGTAGTTCTATACAAAAAAGGCATACTAATTAATGAGTCATGTTTTGATTCCAAAATTATGAAATTGATTCCCATTTTCAATGGTTTATGACTCAGTTTAGTTGAACATGATATCTTTATCATTGGGCTACTGATAGTTTGGTAATGTTGGTAACTGTCTTTTTCACTATGAATCTTGTCAACCTTTTTTCTATTTCACCATGGATAAAGTTTCTTGCGAATGTC